CACTGAGCCCAACTGGCGACTGCTACTACTACTACTACTTATTATGTGTCGGAGAGTCTATTACAATAGAATAGGTAATGATCTAGTATAACAATTTCAGAATTCCCTCTAAGTTAGCAAGGTGGCTATACACCTGAAGAAAGACCTCATGGTACAACAGCCGAAACGTTTTGATAAAAACAACAAAGATGATGACAATAATCCGTATATAAATATTGTAAATAATTCTACTACGTAAATCTATATATAAGTTTTTGTGTCTGTACACTAAATGTCAGAAAAGACAAAAACGTATGAATAGAGTTAGTTAGCGACACAAAAATTTGAATGGGCGATCCGAGATCAAGTTCTATTTCAGTCTTTTGCGTTTACTTCGAACTTGATTACTGTAACGTCGTATATATTACATAAAAGATGAAGACAACAGTCCGAAAAATATAAATAATGTAATCAATCTTGTTTGATATTGACATTTCCAACTCTGACTTAGTATTTTGTTTGTTTAGGTTTTTCCTCCTCCTGACAGCCATATATTGTCTTCTTACAGTTGACAAGTTTATGTTAATAATCGTAAAACATCGCAAAATTACGGGTTTTATTGTATTTATTTTCTTTTATTGTACACTATCTTCATTCAAAATATTGCACAACATAGTGTACCATTGGTCCCACGCGTTCATGGGTTAAAAATTTGCCAAAACTCCTTCTCTTTCCCTTTCCTTAAGATCAACTCTAACATCATCCTGAGGGAGAGGTAAAATTTGTGGGCACGTCCCATTGGATCTCGAGTTTATTCTATTAATTGGAGCCACTGAAATGCAGGTTTTATTATTTAATCCTTAACTAGTATTTGTAATCCTTATAAATATGAAATGTTTTCGTAGATCAATTATACTCAGTTGGCCACTGATCTCAAAAATGACCTACAATTTGTTGTTAACTGGGGCAAGGAATGGTTTGTTAATTTTAGCGTTTCCAAAATGAAAGTGCTCTCTTTTAATCAGCTCGGAGAACATTTTTTTCAACTTCCATCAGTATGGCTGATACTAATCTTCAGGGGAGTGAATAATTGCACCTTATCTGATTAAGTTTTTCCGAGGGTATGAATAGGAAAGAGTATATTCAATCAATTGCTGAGTTTTTTGCCCTGAAAATTGGTTCAGTGTACAGAGCGAGACAATTTTCCTTGCCAGAATTTTGCATATTTATAAGTCAGCCATTCGTCTTTTTGCATATTGCTGCCACATCTAGTCTGGTGCCCCTGCTCTGTATTTAGAAATTCTTGATAAAATCCAAAGATTTACGGAAACCGAGCAGGCTGGAAAGAGAGGAGATAACCGTGCGGTTCAGAAAGATAAGCGGTAACCGTGCGGTTCAGAATGAGAGACGGTTCAGAAGGAGAAGCGGTAACCGTGCGGTTCAGAAGGAGAGGCGGTTCAGAAGGAAAAGCGGTAACCGTGCGGTTCAGAAGGAGAGGCTGTTCAGAAGGAAAAGCGGTAACCGTGCGGTTCAGAAGGAGAGGCTGTTCAGAAGGAAAAGCGGTAACCGTGCGGTTCAGAAGGAGAGGCTGTTCAGAAGGAGAAGCGGTAACCGTGCGGTTCAGAAGGAGAAGCGGTAACCGTGCGGTTCAGAAGGAGAGGCGGTTCAGAAGGAGAAGCGGTAACCGTGCAGTTCAAAAGGAGAGGCGGTTCAGAAGGAGAAGCGGTAACCGTGCAGTTCAGAAGGAGAGGCGGTTCAGAAGGAGAAGCGGTAACCGTGCGGTTCAGAAGAAGAAGCGGTAACCGCGCGGTTGAGAAGGGGAAGCGGTAACCGTGCGGTTCAGAAGGAGAGGCGGTAACCGTGCGGTTCAAAATGAGAGGCGGTAACCGTTCGGTTCTGAGGGAGAGGCGGTAACCGCGCATGTCTGAAGGTGAGACGGTAACCGCGCATGTCTGAAGGTGTGTCATTAACTGCGTATTGCAATGGATCAATGTTAAGAATTTGACCTGAGCAACGCAGGGTATTATTGCTAGTATATGAATAAATTTGAATAATATTTTTACTTCGGTTTTCCATCACATTCGTTTGTCCGATTTTCCATTTCAACGATGACAAGTTCAGAAAAAGAGGAAAAACATTTTGTCTGTAGGTCATCAAAATAGGCCCCGAAAACGTTTAGATACACTTCCAGAAGCTGAATCAAGCAGACAAGGTATTAAGTGTTTTCTCTGTCTTTTACGTCTTTCCTTTTCGACGTTGTGTATTTCCCCGTCTGTTTGTCGGGCGGAATATTGAAGCTGACATGGTGGATCGCCTAGGCAAAATGACCGGTGATTTTGAAGTAGCTTTTTTTTTCCTTCTTTCTTCGTTATTTTGGGAAAGAAGAATATTGTCTGGCGCACGTTCTCTGCTAGGATTTCCGTCTATTAACAAGTACGTGTCTGCCTGTTATCTTGTCATGTCTAAGCAATCAGATCTGTCTGTCAGAATCAAGACGGGGGAATTAGCTTCGTCATAGAAGAGTCACAATGTAAGATCTTACTAGGGATAGTCACCTGTTTTCTTTAGACTGTTCATTTTTAGCAATTGCTCTGGTATTATTTCCAAGTGCTTGTCCTTATTTATTTTTTATGTCTGAACCTGTACATTCGTTTCCTATCGCGCTCAAATCTTCAGTTCGTCTTCGTGCTATTTTTTTCGCAGATTTAGATTAATGTATTTTTTCGCAGATTTAGATTAATGTATTTTTTCTTCATCTTTTAAGTATTTTTTTTTAGTTTTCATGTGATTGTCAATATCTTAGCAAATACCAGATTTTCAATAGGTCACTCATTTCATGAACCCACTCACCCAATGGCTCTTCTTTGTCCTCCCAGCTCTCAAGCGTCCACCGGCTCCTCAAAGGTGTTTGTCTTTTTTTAGGTCGTCTCTCTGTTACCAGAAATCAAAACCGTTTCTCTCTTTCTAGCTTGTGCCTGCCCTCTGATCCACCAAATGTGCCTCTTTCGCTTTATCTAGCTCGTCTGTCTCCTACCATCCCTCGGAATTCTCCCTCTCTCTATTTTCTCTCTCTCTCTCTCTCTCTCTCTTTGTCTCTTTCTTTTTATCTCTCTTTCATTCTCTCTTTCTTCTTTCTCTCTTCTCTCTTTCACTCTCTCTCTTTCTTTCTCTCTTTCTCGAATCTGCCCTGCCACCTCTCACAGTTAATTTCGCTCTACCTAGTCCACTTGCCGCTCAAAGGTGTCTGTGTGCTACTCGACACATTTTCATGCCCATCCTCTAAGATATTAAGGCACTCATTACATAATATTCATTTCAGCTTTCTTATATATATATATATGATCACATATATATATATATGATCACATATATATATATATATATATATATATATATATATATATATATATATATATATATGATCGCATATATATATATATATATGATCGCATATATATATATATATATATATATATATATATATATATATATATATATATATATATATATATATATATGATCATATTTTTCCTGCAACTATAATAAAATACTTTAAGAAGCCGTTGCATTTTTTTTCAAATTTCTTCGCTTACTCTTCCTCTCTCCACTCACAAATGACCGAAGTAAATTAACGTTCCTGCACATGGGAGAAACTGACACTGAATAAAAGCTAGAGTTTCTTATTGGAATAATCACTCTATCTTTCGGACTGGACATGACTTTGAAGAAAAGGTGTGCTTACTACTTAACTTTAACACCTTTTACTGGTGGTAGAGAAAATTACAGAATGCCCAGCCCCCGTTTGGACGGTTGGTAAACACATGTAACTAATTTTACATCTATCATGAAACATTACATACCAAATATTTAGACCCTGGAGCTCAGGCAGAAGAGTTGAAGGATTGCCCGTTTAATTGTATCGGTCTTTTCTGCATTCCTTACATGTTTCAAGTTTACGTTTTTCACGCTTCGTTTTGCTCTCTGTGGTTGTTCGTAATTTTTACTGCTCTCTTCGGTCGATACTTTTTCGGCTTTTCTCAGTTGTCGGTTCATTCAACTTCTCTCCTCTTCGGGTGTCGCTTCTTTCTACTGCACTCCTCTCCGGGTGTCGCTTCTTTCTACTGCACTCCTCTCCGGGTGTCGCTTCTTTCTACTGCACTCCTCTCCGGGTGTCGCTTCTTTCTACTGTACTCCTCTCCGGGTGTCGCTTCTTTCTACTGCTGTCCTCTCCGGGTGTCGGTTCATTCTGCTACACTCCTCTCTGGGTGTCGCTTCTTTCTACTGCACTCCTCTCCGGGTGTCGCTTCTTTCTACTGCACTCCTCTCCGGGTGTCGCTTCTTTCTGCTGCTGTCCTCTCCAGGTGTCGGTTCTTTCTACTGCACTCCTCTCCGGTTAACGGTTCTTTCTACTGCTCTCTTCTCTGGGTGCCGGTTCTTTCTACTGCCCTCTTCTCCGATTGTTGGTTCTTTCTACTGCCTTCCTTTCCGGCTGTCGGTTCTTTCGACTGCCCTCCTCTCCTGGTGTCGCTTCTTTCGACTGCAGTCCTCTCCGGGTGTCGCTTCTTTCAACTGCCCTGCTCTCCGGGTGTCAGTTCTTTCGACTGCCCTCCTCTCCGGGTGTCGGTTCTTTCGACTGCCCTCCTCTACGGTTAACGGTTCTTTCTACAGCCCTCTTCTCCGGGTGTCGCTTCTTTCGACTACAATCCTCTCCGGGTGTCGCTTCTTTCGACTGCAATCCTCTCCGGGTGTCGGTTCTTTCTACTGCTCTCGTCTCCGGTTGTCGCTTCTTTCGACTGATTACTTGTTTCTGTTCACCTTTATTGCTCCCTCTTCCTCGCCTTTTTCATGCTCTCTCTTCCTCTCCTTTTTTCTTTCTTTTCCTCTCCTTTTTTCAAGGTTTTCCTTTTGCTATTTCTGTATTCTTATTTTCCTTCGCCTCTCTTTTTCCCCTCCCCTTGAACCCTCTCCGTTTTTATTATCTTTCATTTGTCTAGCCTCTCCTTTTTTCTTTTTTTCCTCGTGTTTCCTGTGATTTTTTTTCGAATCTTCCTCCTTTTTATTTCTCTTTATTATTCTTACTTTATCCAAAATCAATGTGCGTATGCCACTGTTCCCCACACGTTAGCAATTGTTAAGCTAATTTCACCTTCTATCATTGCTTTCCAAACCTGGTTTGTTTGTTTTTGGGGGGTTTTTTTGTTATTGGATTTTCATCTCTCCGACCCACCATCCTCCTTCTGTGTGCTAAATGGTAAAGTTTTTTCTGTATTAATTTTTACTGTCTCCCTTCGGCAACTTTGGTTGTTTTAGATTTATCTTCTTCAATCAATTTTTCAACCGCAGCTCTTTCCAGCTCCCTACGCTATGCAACCTTTTCTAATCGCGACCTCCCACTGTTTTATTTCTCATCTTCGATTTTACTTTCTCCTAACGTTACTCGCAATGCGCGAACGTCATTTAAAATGCCAGTCCAGTTTTCTTGCTGTCGAATTGGTCGGGGTGCATGCTTCGCTTAATTTTGTCAAAGCATAGGAAGGAAATTCGATCAACATAAAGAAAAAGTCGAACCTCGTTGTCCAGTAAACTAAAGATTCTATAGAATTATTAATCCAAAATAAAAGTCTTTCTACAGCGAATGTTTCGAAGTTTTCACAAACATAAAATCCAGACGAGAAGTCTTCATCTATATGTAAAATTTATTTGTTCCTTTCTCGGCAAAATTTGGTTTCTCTGATTGGTCTATTGAATGACACTTTCGTAATTTGTAATCGCATTTATGTAATTATATAATCCTGCTACATATCCGGTCTGTGGAACCAACTATAATACTGTTACCAGGTGACTATTGTTTCCACTTATAACGTCGTAATTTCACCAAGGTTGCTAGTTTTCTAATTAGTTCTGGCTGTTGCTTTTGCGTGGTTGGGTCGCTACTTCTTCGTTCTAGCTGATAGTCGGTTTTTACGTTGCACTTTCAAGATCCTGGAAAGAATATATCTGTGGAAATCCGTTACAGAATTGTACAAAAAATGCAATGCATTTAAGTAATATTAATTAAACTCAAACATTAACTCATTTTTGTGCAACTTCTCGGCTCCAATTTGAATTTCTATATTCGTATAATAACCAATCAGCGACGGCATATGAAACCGGGCCGTAGTCTTTGAATTTACAAACAGTAATGGTTATCGTCTGCTACGTAAATTTGTAGGATGACTTTAAGAAATGATCAACAATATTTTCCCACCTCAAAATATATATTTAAAAATTGGGAGAATATTTATTAACCAAAAAAGTTTTAAAAAATCTAACTTCGGAACCGATTCTTCGGTTATAAAAGCGATCATTTTAGTTCACAGAAGTTATTTTTTCAGTTACCCTTTGAACATGTGTCGTTCGTTGTTAGGCAAGATGAAATTCTCAAACCTTAATTACCGTATTTTCCGGCTTACAAGACGTATTATTTCCCTAAAACATACGTGTGCGCCTTCGAAGACGAATGTAAAGCAACGCCCAGACTCAAGAAAGCTTGGACGGTCACCTAATTGGTTTGAATGATAAGGACGTGGATTTGTATGTTGAGCCATTACACTATAATAATAGCTATTTAATTCAGCCTTTTATATGATACAACCTCAGTACTTAGCTGTTACAGCATTTCCAAGACTATTACCCTTCCTGGAGCCGATCCACAAGCTTAAACATGCTCTGTTTACTAACAACAGCGGAAGCCTTTCTGCTCTTGACTAATATATTATAGCCACACAAACAAAATCGGATGAGGGATTATTGTAAACAATACATGGCGCCAGTGAATGTGTTGTCGAATGGGAATGATTTATTCTTAGAAATTTCTTTTCAAAATTAGAGTGCATCTTCCAAGCGGGAAAATACGGTAATTACTCATATTTTCTTATATATATCCGAGCAAACTATTTTACGAAAAAGGCTTAGCGATTTTGAGTTAAGGCAAAAACATACGAACCGAGTCAACAGATTTTTAGCAGCAGTATCAAAGCAGATTCGTCTGCTGTTACCATGCTGCTACTGAAAAACGATTCTATTTTTATTGATTTGATTGTATTGTAACGAAGATAAACAAGAATATCTTGTGTTAAGTTGTTTCGCAAAGAATCTTTGTAATTCATTTCTTTCAATTTAAAAGAAAAATAATACTGAATAATAAAATTTAAATTTGCAGAGCCGTGTTTGAAGATTGTTTATTTCTTCGTTTATGAACGCATATTCCTCTACATATCCTACAAAATCAGAATGTTCACTATTGTTAATAAGTGTTAGTGGTGTGAGTCTAAAATTCAACGACACAATATGGGACTACTGGTTTAGATAAATTCTCTGTACTTCTGTCTATCAAAGTAATTATTGCTGGGGACCGCTACGATTCGGTGAAGGTGTTGAGATAGAGAAATTTTGCCATCTCTAAAAATAGATGGATAATCATAATTGCCAGGCTGCAATACCATGTGTCGGCCAACCCATCAGAAAATTTTAACAACCAAAAACATGTAGCTACTAAATAGTCCTGCTGCACTGAAAACATATACTCTTTCCTTCACCACTAAGTTACCAAAGGCTTCCACATTTGGATAGATACAGATGCTGTATATTACTATTGGGCTCAAACCAGGCGACGAACACATATATAAAGTATATATATATCTTTATTGTTCTAGTTGCGGCGAATGGATAGAGTGAGAGAGAATCAGATATTATGATTGCGCATACATGAATTGACGGAGACAAATCTTCGTTGAACCTCTAGCCACCCTCTCTGTCCAGGTCAATCGAGATCAAGAATCCATATCTCCCTCATCAATGGGTTGAATAACGGGAAAGACTGGGTTCTTTAACCCTGGTTGGCAACCAGTCTACCGCAGAAATATATGGCAACCTACTTCGGGGAAAAAAAACTGCCTCGTCAGTCATGTATCGAAGGATACGTGATCGCTCAAATGGGTATCACGTATGCCACTTTACTGACTGACATAATATTTGGACACCTACGCAAGTTCAAGTGGCTACGCCATCTTCCGGTATGTCGCCTATACAACTTCCTGTGTCCATAACTCTTCCGGCATGCTCCCACGCAAGCACGTATTTCCTTCCGCTTTCTGTAAAAAACATTCAGCGTAGTTTTATCTTCGAAAATCTGCCATACTATCAAGTTTGACATTTTCTCAGGTCACATATTCGTACAACTACCAGTTATAAAAAAAAGATGGAAAATATACTATAGAAATCCGGAAGAGCATAAGAACTGAAAATATTTCGAAAACGAAAGAGAATTTTAAGAAAATTTCGCCACAAATAATGAACATAATTTTCGACTGTTATCTAATATTGACCTTACTATATACCAATGAAAAGTCAATTATTTCTTCCCTTATGAAAAGTATACGTGAGGCAATAGATAGAGTTCGACAAAACGATTCTCAGAATACCATGAACGGAGCATGTTTGCAAAAGATGTTTTCTGGAAAAACAGAAACGACGAGACTTCTGCTTAGGATCACAAAGATATAGTTCAATTTCCTGAAACACGCAATGAGAATAGAGGACTTGGAGAATTAGACACTCAAGTGGCACATTTAAAGCAAGAGAAGCAAAGGGATACGCTGAGCAATATACCTAAATGATGAAGTGCAAATCAATGACAGAACATAGACTAGAAGTTATAGACAAACATTCCTAAGAGCTACAAAGGCTATGAAATTTTATGGCCCTGATCGCACAGGCCTCATATATAGCGAATTGCTCCATTTTATAGAGACGGTATTCTGTGTTCGAAATCTTAATATTTACAGACGTGAGGTATTGTCGGTTTTTAACCTAGTCGTGCGAACTCTGCGGACAAATCTATAGCAAGATAATGGAATTTATTCTTTACCGGATATTTCAAAATATAATCGATATAGAGAGAAAAAAAATGAACCCCCCTCCTTCTCGTCCCCTCTCTGTTTTTCTACTGAACACGTGTTTAATATCTAATTCTGTATCGTTTGGTGAGCTGAAAGAGACTTTTGTTCAAATAAATCAGTGTTTAAGAAACGTACTAATACAGCATAAACTATTGATACTGCACTGTAGTCTGGTGATATCTGCGTTGCAACACGTCATAGGTCAGAAGATATTGTAAATAATAGCTTCATATTAAAAAATGAGAGAATAACACGGAATATTTGCCATAAATATATCACTAGAATAGAAGGCGTTTGCCAAATTGTAATGCACAGACAAGTGGCTTTGTAAGCGAGCCCTTAACTTCGAGATAAGTTGTATATCAGTGCTTTATAATAAGAAATGTACAAATATCTTTTCTTTATATATATATATATATATGTATATATATATATATATATATATATATGTATTTGTGCTAGCTTCAATAATATAAAAAAACAATTATGTAGAGAGAGAAAACAGTTTTTTCTCGTTTTTGTCCGATACGTTGTATTAAAAAAATGTATGCAAAGACGTCCATTGCTCAAATGTAAAAAAAAAAAAGAAAAAGCAAGTAACACCAACAGCAGGAGCTGTAAATTTTGGGAAGTGGCAGTGCTACGACAATACGCTAAAATTGTTTTTGTAAACCATACGATACATAGGCTTTCAGAACTATTGTCGGTTATATAATATTATCTGGTAGAAAAAAAGTATCCAGCTCAAGTGAATATCTCAAGATGAATAATCGCAGTTTTTTTCACATGCATAAACTTGTGGTTATACAGGCTGCAACAGAAATACATCCCATAGAGGAGAAGATAGGTCCGTCTATCCTCCGTCTCAGACTCCTAAAGACCACACACACATTTTGACTAATTTTGACCACTTCAAGTCTAGATTTAACTGTTAACTTTCCTGTATGAACAAAACTTTTTGGCTTTTCTTACGCTCCTACAACACCACATACTATCTACCTTGACTGGCTCTTGGGTCTTTTATTAGGTTAACATTAATAAATCAGAACTCATCGACGTGGCGTGACGGTTAGCATGCTTGT